GAAAAAAAAAAAAAAAAAAAAAAAAAAAAAAAAAAAAGAAAAAAGATACACATGCTGCATTACAGTTTGCCTTTAAAAGTAATGCAGTGTTCAAAGTGTTAATTTTTTTCCTCCCTTTTTTCTCTGGGTTAGTGTTTCAAGAAGACTGCTGCTCCATACAGATTTATAATATGTATGTTTACTCACACGTCTCCAAGCCAACAGGAAAGGCAGAGCAGAATTCCAAATCTATCATTAAATCTACATGTTGACACCTACAAAGAGCTGCAGGACTTCAATTTTTCTGAATATGACTGAAGGGATAAACTGAAAGAACAAACAAACAGGCCATTCTTGTCCTTAAAATACACACGCAAAAAGGAAAGAGAAATAGAGGGGGGGGAAAAAAAAGATGGTCTGGAAGGCTGTCGATTTCCAGGGGTGTTTACTGGTGGCAAACTAGGAATAACTTTAAGAACAGTGTAATCTCCAGTTGTTTCTGAATGACATACGGATCTGCTGACAAACAGCCTGGTTCAAAAGACACAGCACTGGTAAGGCTCCAAAGTGGTGTGTGTTATTACCAATTCAGCCACTGACTTGTGATGCAACTTCCAGCCTTGGCTCAACTTGGACATTTAGGCTCTGCTTCACAGATTTTATCCTCTCTCACTGTGAAGAAGTGCCTCACACTATCAGGGTGTGCCACACTGTAGTCCTAATCTTACAATTACTGCCTCTAGATGCTACTGTAAAATAAATAGCAACGCTGCATATTGATGAATTATGACTTTTTTTTTCATTATGCTTTAGTTTAGATCATAAAGAATTAATATAAAAATCAAACTAGGATCAGATCCATGTACCCAGGGACCCTATACAATTCCCACTGAAGTCAATAGGACTTGAAGGGAAATTAAATGAGGTTCTGAAACTAGTTCAATGCAGGTGCTTATGCACTGCCGTGCTGGGGATCACAGAAACACCTAGTGCAACAGTCATCCACAGTAAACCCATCGGGCTGTGAAAGCCAATCCACAGAGCCAAGAATACAGATAATGCAGGGAAAGAAGTGTTCAATGTAAAAAAGAAACCAAGGGAGATGTTCTTAGCACATTAAGAGCTATAATTAAATACTGCATCTTGAGTTTGTCACTGCTCAAAGGAAGCTAGGAAACGAGCAAGAATTCATTATGAAGCTGCTCAAGACCAAAACATGAATCATTGAGTTCTAAAAAAACCCAGTTGTCTGGAGAACAGTGTAGATGAAAATGAATGGAATCTCTTTAAATTACTCTCTGTATCAACTCTTCCACATTCATTCTTTCTGCCATTGATTAGTATCTTTATGGGATAGGGGTTTTAGAATAATTCCACACCATACTCCCAGCTTCTGCAATCAAAACACAGAAACAGCTCTTGATTCTGCATTTTTAGCCTTCATTTACAGGGAAAAATGTCTTCTGCAGTAAGAAAATTGAACACCTACTGTTCTTACCCATTTACTGGATATCCCCAAAAGTGCATGCTGAAGGCTCAGTAATCAGATGAGATTAACATTGCCCCATCACTTAACAAATAAGGGGACTTTTACACACTATTACTGCATAAAGAAGGATTAAATCACCTCTAGAAAGCCCTCAAGATCATTAAAGTGTTAAGAAGCTGGGACCTCTCTGATTCTGGCATCCCTGACAGTAAAGCAGAAAACGTCAAATCCTAAGCAATAAATTGAGAAGTCTTCTCTGCAAACCTAGGTTGGAACGCGCAGAAGGGAAACGTGGCAGGTAAAACATGGCCTCTGGCTATTCTGTTTCTGCTCTACTCAATTTCCTGAGAAAATGGGGCTTGTGTGACCATATGGTGTGTTTTGTACATCTGTCCATCACACCAACCTTTTTCCAGCAATTTCTAAAGCATCAACCAGTTGGCAGTGTTAGGTTTATGGTTTGACACAATGACTTTAAGGCTCTTTTCTAACTAAATGCTTCTATGATTCTATAATTTCACCTGACAAGAGCTCCATTGAGGGGAAGCAGTGCTGAGAGCTGAACTGCTATCAGTCATGGAGGACACCACCTCAGGGCAAGAGATTTGCTGCATTCCAAGAACGAGAAAAACATTATGTCCTCTACTAGTCTGCAATTTGAGTTAACTCCCTATTAGATGTGTACCTTATCAGACCAAAGAAATCCAACCATGAGGTAAAACTCTGTTGAAAAGCTGCTCCCTCGTCACACAGCTTGTGGAGTGATACATAAAAAAACACTAAGGGAACCCATGGGAATAATATTCAGGGGCTCCAGTGAGAAGCAATATCCTTTTCTTCCTACCAACTGCTGAGAGGCAGAGATTCCTGCTACTAACAACAGTCCTCAGTAATTCAGACTGAAGTATCAGCCCTTACAGGTGCCTTCAAGTAGAAGTCCTTCCACTCTTTGCCTCTTTAATCAGAGACTCCTAATCCATGCCCAGGAGGTCTTGCTTCACCAACCCCTGTCCACAGCAATCCCCCTTCTAGCCTCAGCCTCTCTGGCTGCAGGGAACCTCCCACAGACAGATCTCAACAGTCACACAAACCTGAACCTTGCCAGAAAGTCTTTAAACTCTGAAAAACACAACATATAGAGGTGCAACACTGAGAAAACAGCAATGCCCAAGTGTTGCTCTAGCCCATGTCTTGCCAGCACTTCAATGGCAACAAGACACAGGGTAAATCAGCAAGAGAATCATAGAATCACAGAACAGCTGTTCTTAAGGGCTCCCAGAGTTTGAGATGTCTCAGGTACCTCGCTGAAGACATAATCAGCACCTGTGACACCTACAGCATCCAGCACAGCACCACTCTTCTGATTTAGGCAGAGGCTTGGCCAGCTGGGAGGGTCCCTACAGCTGTAGCTTTTCAAAAACCCAAACCAAAACAACAACAACAAAAACCATAAAAAAACCCCAATGATGCTGCACTAGTACTAGTCAGCACTTCGATAACCAAGACTGCTTGAAGAAGAGTAAGAAATGAAAACTCGTGTAAGAAACAGAAAAGACACAAGATTGCATAAAACCTCAAGCTTCTCATAGAAAAACATTCCACTCATGATAGTTGAAGTGTATTTTACCTTACTGTGATGACATCCAAAATTTATCACATCTTTTATAAGACCGTGTCTAGTAAAGAGTGATGTATTAACAATATTTACTTGGCTGGATTTAGCTTCTTAGGGCACATAAATATACTTTTGTACTGTAAGAGCAGCCATAGCTGCCTACTAAATCTTGAATAACACAAGGCAGCTTTGTAGACCTTTAAACACATGCACCGACTTGATTCTGTCTCCTTCACAAATCTGCTTCCTTACTATCTGCCCCGTCAGTCCCCAAGGCCCGTGTGCTGCTCATCTTTTGTCAAAAGACATGTCATTTTCCATGTTTGGAAATCATGCTTTTAAATTTCCATGCTTTTTCAGTGCAAAGTTAACTACTTTTAGAAAGTGGCCAAGTTTATTTTCCCCTCCTTCCCACAGCTATAAAACAAAGTGGAAATCTTATCTGGTTTCCTTGGTAGATACCCTGCATGGCTTTTCTAATTTGAAAACTCATTTATCAAACGTACACATGGAAACTGTGTAATAAATATAAATTAAAGTGTAGATTTCTGTTAAGCACTGAATAAAGAATCTATTTGGTCTAGTAATTTAAAAAGGCAATTAAAAAAAAAACCAGAGTAAAATAGGAATAGCTGGCCAAAACTTTTTAAAACTAATAGCAATATTTTAGATTGGTCTTTTTTGGGAGCCTTACTTGAAGCATCTTAAAGAGCTGATTTCCAGAAAACAGCCTGATCCCAATATTGGAAAATGAGCTAGGTCCCTTGCAAGTGCCTCATGCTTATGTTATTGACCACTTTATAGGTAAAAAGAATATTCTACCCACACATTGTGCTCTCTAACATACTGGTTATCAAAACTACATGAGGACTAGGTGGTATCTTGCCAAAAAACAAAACTGTATTTGAAAAACCTGAGTCCAGCCAGGAACAGCCATAGAGCTGGGTAAGAGCCCAGACCTGCTGTCAGTGTCTTATACAGAAAGCTGGCTCAGCTGCTGGTGGCTGCCCCAGCCAGAGGAGCCCAGCAGCATCCCAGCCTAATGCAGACCTTGCCTCTCCCCTGCCATGGGGGTTCCAGAGCTTACCCAGGGGACTCAGGCAGAAATGAGTGTAACTCTTAATGATAACCCTCCACAGCCACAAAAACTAGCCCTAGCCCTCCCAGCCACCAGGGGACCCTGACCCACCAGTACCACCACGCAAGTAATTCCCAGAAGTCACATTCACTGGTCCGAGCCAGGGCGCTACCCAGAACCAATGCATATACTTCCAATAAGGATGTGTCACAAACCCGAGGACTAGTGTTAAACAAGAAAACCCGTAACTAACTGCACTGAAGAAACAAAAACAAATCCAACCCCCAAATTCAGTGTAAGCTTGCCTACATTTTACAGTACCCCCTGTATGCAGCAAAGGGTTTGGACTATTTCCATGTTCATTTTTGTTGCTGCTTTTCTTATAAATACACATCATTCTTTCCCTGTGACATTTCTTCATATCTTTAACAGAATGCTCTCAGTTACCACAGAATATTTGGCTTGAATCCTCCAGTGAGGAGGAGCCACCAGGTTTGGCTTATGTTTTAAAGACAAAAGAAATATTACTCTACACATAAAACAAATCAGTGCAACTGTAACAGTAGATGGAGATAGAGCTCCTAGCAGCACAGCCCATGAATAATTCCAGGTTCTGTAAGAAGTATCACAGCTTTCTGAATTTCCCTAGAAAACACCATGTCATTATTAGCTTCCAGCTTGACTAAAACACAAAATGTCACTTTCTTCAGAGAAAAAGTTAAATAAAAGACAGAATGTAGTGTAACAACTAAACTGCAAAGCATATCCACTTGCACTCTGAAATTGTGAAAGACAATGTGTGTATAGATAAGCAGAGAGATATTAAAGATGGCTCTTACCTCCATCCCCAGATCCTGAGCCAGCATCTGAGAAAAGAACAGAACAAAATTTACATTAATGTGCTACTGTATGTCCTGTAAGCATGAAAAGCAAGACCACTCAGTTAAGTGTATTACAGTGTACCTTACATTTGATGTCAAATCTGGGTAAATTATAGAGATCTAATCTGAACATAGTTTCCTCAAGCTCTCTCTCTCATGTCTCCCCATTTTTTCTTTCAAGTCTCTATATCAAACTAAAATAACGTAAGCCCTGGAGTGCTGTAACATCCTCATAAGCCTCTGCCTTGTTTTGTTGTACTGAGATTGATCTTTGTTCCCAACAGTTGTGCAAAGTAACTTCACTTGGCCACTACTAAACTCTTATCAAAGATAATTTTTTAAAATCCATTTGTTTGAGAACAACATGAATTTCCAGTTGGTATCCTGACAAAACAGTGAAATTCATCAGATCATAACTTGTTGGAATAAATGGTTGAAACGATTATTAGATAATTTTTTTTAGACAAATTATTATAAAAATATTATAAAAATCTCTCCCTTTTCCACTGAGCATTCTCCTTGGGAGGAGGAAAAAGAGGACAACTGATCAAGACTTCAGGAAGCCCCCCCCCCCCTTTTTTTTTTTCTTTCTTTCGTCTCAAAAACAATATTCTTTTTCAATTAGAGTTTATAAATAATCTGAAGTTCAGTCCTCGCAGTGACTCTGTGGAATGAAGCTGTTTGAATGAAGTTACTTGTGGAGAGACCCCCCCCCCCCTTTTTTTTTTTTCCTTCTCTGGTTCCAAAATCCACCTATTTGAGAGAGAATGCTTCCAACACAGCCAATGCTAGTAGGCAAGAAAGTTTAAGAAAAGATGTAGCAATGCACGAAAATTACCCCTTTAATCAAAAAAGTTTGAACCGAAAAAGACCAGTTGCTGCACTGAGAGAATTCACTAAGTTTAAAAAATCCTATGCCACAATAAGCTTTGTCAGCCTGAGTTCTGTTTAATACCAATTTATAGACAAAAAAATTGCAGCATGTGATTTTTTTTCCTCTTGAAAATTGTTAGGTAACAGCTTCAGAGAAGAACAACATTTCCAGGAAGGAAGTTTATTTGCTCTCAGGTGTATGAAACACAAAATTACAACACTGCAAAAAGTTTGTCTAATGCACTTTTTATTGACTCCTCCATCCTCAGCCAAGAAAGAAATTCTGCTTCAAGTTTAAAGAACACTCTCAAGAACAAAGACTTACTCCTTCTGCTCTTTTCAAGTTAACTTCACTGCCCACCTCTAGCAGATACTGAGCACAAAAGAAAAACACCAAGAACTCTTGCATGAAAGTAACAGTTTCCCTGTCTCATTTTGCTCATTCACCTTTCTAGCTGTTTCAGAAAAGCACAGGTACAAATATCTCATAATGCTCTCAAATGTCAGTTTCCATACATGTTCTTTAATGAATTATTCCAACAAATCCATAAGAAAAACAACAACCTGCTGCACACACTTGGTCCTTAAGTGTGTTTTGGGCCAAATCTTCAGATGATATAAATTAACAGGGTTCATTACAAGCAGTGGTCTGTTGTATCATACCAGCTGTGCCCTACATGCATAAGAAAAAAACCTAAGAAAATGGATTGCAGGCAATAGTGCTTCAGTTCCATCTCTCCAGATTATGAAGAGGTTTGTGGTAATCCAGATGCCCATTTATCAGACATCTGCTCATTTAATCTACTTCCAGTTACTTCTTGTAACAGCTCAGAAGCATACGCAGCACACAGGATGATAAGGAGTACAAGATACATATTAAAAAAAGCAATGACATTCAGTGTTGCACTCTTCAAAACAGGGTCAAGAGTATATTGTATCATAAACTGTGAGCCTATACCAAGTTACTTAAAAGGGAAGGATGGCAGCAACTTCTCATGCCTAAGACTGCAAAGAATTAACTCATTACAATTAAAAGCAGGGATTCAAATGACTTTTGCCACCCACAGGTTATTTTATTCAGAGGCCAGGCAAGGTCCACAGGCAGCTTGGAATGCATTGTACATACCAGTCGCACATGATCCTTCAGACACCAGGAGTATTTCACTCTGCTGCTTGCAGGCAGCCTGTTTCAAGTAGCATTCGTTCTGGTAAGTGTCACCGTTGGAGCCACACACGGGCACATAGTCATTATTACACTGAGGGGAACAGACAGAGAGCAGTAGCATTAGTCACAAATGTAGGGTGACACAGCATCATCCATTTGGATGTGTGCCCCCCCCCCGCCTTCCAGTATTAAAACCCTGGGAAAACAACAGAGAGGGAGACACTGACCCTCCTCGTCATCCTTAAAGCCATGTTGGGAGAGGGAGGGGGGATTTTTAAAAAGACAAAAGACAGAGAAGAATAAACCAGACTTGAACAGGTTAGGGAAAAGATAATCTGAATGAGCGAAGTGTTCAACAAGTGTGAGAACCACGAGCAAGGCGAAGGGCTCCTCGCGTCGGCAGTAGCCGCTCGTTTGTTTCCATCGGATGGCTACGAGCAGGAGGTAACAAAGAGGCGACCTTCTCCCCTCCTCCTGCACACCCTCACTGCTAAGGAGACACTCCTTCGCAAACACAGAAGTGTCCACCTGCGTGTATACAACTCTCTATTTAAGCACTTAGCCATAATTAGAACTGATTGGGCTGAGGGAAATTATTTCTGAGAGACCTATAATCAAAACTCATCCCTCTTTGTGTGCAGAGATATTTTTGTTTCCGAGGAGCTGCAAACCGGGATGCTCTGCAAAGGTCCAAGCTCTCCCCAGGGCAGCCAGGGGGCAGGAGTGGCAACACGGCAGCCAGAAGTTACTCGCCCCATACATCTCTCTTTCAGCTCAAACTCCTGCCCATCTCCACACACTACCTGCTTTATTCCCTCTACTGCTGAAAGACAGCTTCGCCCTCTCTTGCTCATTTTAATAAAAATAATTCTACTTTATATTGAAAATTGGGCAACCTACTGGGTGCAGTTCTCATAAGATAATCACACTCCGAGGCTTAAAAATACTTGGATGTACCCTGTACATGGTAATTATACAGGGACATGATTATCTTGTGATTACCGTACCCCTGGTATGCCTCATTGTTTAATTATAACAAATAGAATGATCACAATAATTATTTACAAATGCTCATTTTTGTTTAAACTCAAGTAAAACTAAAAAGAAACCTAACTTCCTATTCAGCTGCATTATGCCACAAAGTGTCTGAGGTGTGGTCTTCAGGCACAATGTAAAACACAGAACTGAGATTCCAGGGATATAAACATCAAATACTCTACAAAGTGAACAACTACATAAGTGATTAACACAAACAATTGCACAGATTGTGTTAATTGCAGGCCTCCACACAGAGCAGCTGCCAAGAAATTATTCATAGATGGTCAGAGTGACATTTTGATTGGGCCAAACCAAATGACATTTTCCTTATGCATTGTATTTTCTTAAATCTTCCTGAGCTGCTGCCCACCCCCAGCACCCTCTTCTCTTGGAACAAGGAAGAAAAACAGCAGCCATAACAGTAGAAATCCTCTCCTTCCACTCCTAACGAAGGCCTCCTCCATGTAGGGATTTTAAACCATTGATTAAAAAGTGTTCCTATGCTATTTTCACCATTATGTTCCAAATTTGAGCAGTGCTTCAAGCAGAAAATGCCAACTTCATCCAGAAGCTCAGCAGCAATTGCTGGAGGCTGCTACGGAATACTTAACCAGGACAATGAATGCAATCACATGCATTTTCTAAAGCATCATACTTGCTTTAGACATTCTATCAGCTTGTCACCCATAGGGTATTTTTGCCCAAACAATCGTTCAGAATTTGGCCCAAAGTATGTGAACAGGCTCTGTTGCGTGTAGAAACAATGTTGGATCCTGTTCCCAAGAAAAAGTGGCAAACTGTCTATTGGTTTCGCCCAGAGCAAGAGATGATCTTTTACACTGACTCAGCTGCAAATCTGCAAGAGGCCAGACAGCCCTACATTAACAGCATTCAGCATTAACAGTGAAATCTTGAGCCACAGAAAGGGTGACAGAGGTGCTATGAGCTAAGCTGGAACTTCTTCCAAAGTCTGGCAATTTCAAAACACATTTGAAAGACACCAGAGCTCTGGGAAGGATTAACTCTCATGGCAGAAGTTTCCCCATCTCTCTGTTGCTCCCATCACACTCAAGTGTGGCTTCGCCAGCATGGACAGAGGATACTCCAGGATGAACACACATGATGTAGTCTTTTCTGTCTCTAACTGTACTGGTCCTACCCATTCCTCTTATCACCACCTCTGAACAGTCAGTATTCAGATGGAAAAGGCAGACACCTAGGAGCTACTGATGAGCCACAGGGAAGAAAAGAAGCAAGAGCTTCCAGATGGATCCTGCCTTGACTTTGAGCTGGCATGGCTCTGAAATCCAACAGGAAACTGTAGTGGAAGGTATCCAGGAAAGAAAACAAGACCACCCACAAAAAGGTTGTGACATTAGTCATCAGGCTACTCATGACCCACTAGGGCCAGACTCTTGACCACAGTGAATCCAGCACTTGTGGCTCTTCACTGTCATAACATACTCCTTGCTAGTTCTGGAAGTATATTAGACATTGACTGTCATAGTTTTCTCAGTTTAGTGACACATTTTGGACATTTTTGGCTCAATAGACCCAGCCCTAGATATGAGAATGATTCTCTATCCATAAAGTAAGGCCTGACCAAGCACTTGGGGAAATCCATGTCAAAACTCCCACTAAACCCAAAATCTCCACAACTTAACGCACACGGGATTCTTAAAAGACAGCTGCAGAGCAGGGAAACTGACATATCCAATTCAACCAGCTTCATTCAAAGGCTGCCTTCTCAGCACTAGCAGCTCAAGTGCCCACTAACACAGCTAGAGACAAACCAGCTTTGCAAGTGTTGGGGTCAATGCTGTGCACTGAAAGCATAACCTTTATTTTCTAAATAGCAGCTTGTGTAACTCCTCCTCTTGGTAGCACTATTAAAGATTTGACCTTCTACTCTTGGGGATTAACTACTCCCAAAATACCACCTGCATCTTGAACCAAGTAGCACAAAAATACATTCCAAAAATACACTACAAAGCAGAAAGTTCGCCAGCTGATGTTGCAGCTCCACAAACATTGATGTACGTGAGGGATTCAACATGCATGAAAACAGGACTCTTGCCTCACAGTGAATGAATGTCCACAGACTTGGTGACTAAAGAGAAAAGATATGTAACACTGAGGGAAATACCCCATTATATTTTTTGACATGTTAATTAAATCTAAGAGAGAAGAGAACCCAGGCTGGCAGACTGATGGCTTTGGGCAGACTGGGGTACAGACCCCAGTGATCCCTGTCTCCAACCACATTTGTTCAGGCACAGCTCTGCACCATCTGGTGGATCCATTTCAGTTTGCCCTGAGTAGGGAGGGAAGGGGTAGTGGTTTCCCCCACACTCATCCCTAGTACTGCAGCCAGGATTGGCCCAGTGCCTTCATTCCCTGCAGGCACCAAGGTCTGGGCTTGCCCCAAGCAGGGGACAGCTCTGCATTTACTGATCAGAGCAGGACATGGTGTTTCCAATTTGATACGTCTCATCTTGAGGAGGCAGTGAATGAGCCATTGTTTTGCAACAATACAATGTAAGAGCCAACCCATATGAATGCTTCTCTTATCTCATGTCTGCTGGCTCTCCAGGGATGGACGCCTGACTGAGGTGTTCCAGAGCAATTTGATCATATTCACCCTTTCAAACAGAAATAAATTATGTTTCCCTCCACTTGGACAGATGTGATGCACCTGTGATTCTGGTTTCAAAAAAGCCCAAATGAAGACTGCAACTGCCCTGATCCCCACTTCTGCTTCCCCCCCACCCCTCAAGACATGGGCTGGCCAGCCCAGGACTTTTCAACACGACAGAGGCAAAATTAGCTTTCCATCCTTGTCTGCTGCAGTTAAAGCCCTTGGCAAATTCTGGAGAAAACATAAAAAGTAATTATTGTGACGAGGACTCTGCTATTGATTTGCTCACTATCACCCCAGAGAGCTGTCACTGAAACGGGGGACCTGAATTCTGATGGAGGACCCCCTTGCTCATAACATAAATTGCCTGGCTGCTTCTGCCTTTCTCAGACACTGCACTAGAAATTAATTTTCTACTCTGATGGTGTATCTCTTTGGATTGTCACATTGTCCACTGATATTACAAGAGAAGCTAACGTCCCCCCAAGCTCTGCCTGTATCAGAGCAGATGCGTTTGACTACAGAAGCCCCGGGCATTGCACCACCCTTCACAGCCCTGGCACAGGATCAGCCACAGGTAATTTGCCCTCCAAGGTCACAGGCAGCCCTGCGGCTCCATGGAGGGCTCAAATCAAGACAAAGAGCTCTGAGCATTTACAGGGCCTGATCCAAAGGCCACTGAAATCAAAGATTACTGCTGATTTCAACTCATTTACTAGTGATCAGGCCCACAATTGACCAATTCATTCTTTTGATCTCATTTACATATTCATATACCAATTATCTGCTTTCCTTAAATATGTTTCAACTGCCCCCTACAGAACTACTCAACTCAGCATATACATACCATTTACCTCCCAAAGAGGAGACAACACAGCCCAGAGAGCTTCATTTACCCTGAATCACCAGGGACCAGCATCCTGCCTCAGGATAACGGAGCTCCCAATGCCTTCTTCCCTGTCGATTGCAACATCTGAGTTTACTCCTTCTGTGCTATAAGTCCTCTGCCTTGTGCCAAACAGCAACACCAAACTGGGGCCAAAGACAAGACCCAAGCACTCTCTGTGGCTGCTCTAATTTCCCAGTGCTCATGGCACAACGTCTGCCCTAGCTTTAGCACCAGGCAATGGGACAAGACACAGACGTTCCACTGCATTACAGATTTTTCTTAGAAAGAGAAAACAGACCAAGCCTTGAATCACTGCACATGCTAAACCAAGGCAAATACTCAAAACAGCATTCTCACATTGAATTTTTGATTGCTTGCAAACTAGATATGGAATAAAAAAATCCAACATGGTCAGTATGAATTCTCTCCCAAAAAGGGAAACACAAGTACTTCAGCAAACAACAATCTTTTTCTTATTACAGAAAACTCTTTCTTTGGTTTAAATGAAGGAATTTATCACTTGGGATTTTTCTCCAAAGACACATTTGGCTCTAGAAATATAAACGATACTTGTCATGCTTCAAAGCGAATAGTCTATCAAAGCTTGGTAATAAATTAATCATTACAGATGTGCACGATCTTGAACTGTGCACTATTTGGCCAGCTCTACTGTAAACACTCAAATCAGCGTCACAAGTTCCACAACTTCACAGACCCACATTTAAATGCAAGAAACCACAGAGGCATAAATGTACATGCAACACATGCCAGTACATGCTTAAAACTCCTTTAATTTGTTCAGTTTTTATTCAGGTCATTATGTAAAGCACAGCTGGTTTGTGAGTTGGCTGAAACATACTAAGTAGAATCCTTCACAATGAAATCGTCTGACTTTGAGAACACTTGAGGTTTAGATGTAGCTGCAAGGGGCAGAGAGAAGAAACAGAAGGAAAAAAAACACAACCCTACTACTCAGTAACAGCCCCCCTAAACTATATAAAATATAAAGGAAGTTCATGAGTTTAGAAAAGAGGGATTGTTCCTTAATCTGATCAGCTGTGCAGATAAACAGGCAGAAGCATTGTCACTATGCAGCCTTTCCTGAAAATATTGCATAAGCACATTACAGATCCATTTCTTTAACTAGATCAGAACTCCGAATACAATAAGCCATGATCTGTATCAGAAATGAATGTAGAAAGGACTCTAAATCCTTATTAAAAGGGCAGAGATGAAAAATCAGAAATGCACAACCCGGAACTGCAGACCCAAAGAGACATCTAAAGCCACAGCATCTGCATTTTCCCAGAGAAACTTATGTCTTCTTGACACCAGTTGGTTTTCCTGCCAGCTTTTATACATGCTGCCAGGTTTTCCCTCTAACTTCTCTGCACACAGAGAAATAAATAGCCAAGTGATGGGTTATAAAGGGATATCCTTGATTTGTAGTCTCATTAGTGAATTAGAGAATGAAATACCAATCTTCTTACCTTGAACTGACAGACACAAGTCACACTGTCTCCAATCCTTAAACACTCCCCATCAAATTTACAGGTATTGGTGTCGCAGAGAAAGAGATCATTTTCTCTGTCATCGTAACCTCAAATGTAAAGAGGAAAAATAGAAAAAAAAAAAAAAGAAAATGTCAGCTTTGGTCTAGCAAGAAGAATAATATGGGATGATTGCATTTTAACGCACACAGCAAAATAACCTTGTTGACAAAATGAGAGTCCAGATTTTCTTTTGTCCTTCCCTGTCCTCAGTTTTCCACTTTTTCTCATTTCTCCCTCAGTCCTTATTCCCCACTACCTCATACACTTTTTTTCCTATTTCACACAGTCTTGTTTCCTCAAAAGTCACCCAGTAATTATGCTATTTCATGGCTCTGGGTTAGAAATGTCATCAACTTTTCCCCATCCGATTGCAAATCTGTTGGACAGAAGTCCAAATTGGAATTTCTCCATCTCATGACACAACAAAGCCCCCAGTAATAAAGACAAACAGGCTGTGTGTGTTCTGTGATGGTCTGCCTGATCCCAATGAAGATTGATCACCACTAAGTTAAAAGAAGTGCCAGGTTCCCCAAAAGCTGCTAAGCAAACCTAGCTCTTTGCCCTCATTTTTCCTCTAGGAAAAACCAACCAATCTGACCGAAGATTCAGTTCACGAATACAAGCCTGAATTTCAGATTTCACTAGCTAACTTCCCACTCCAACAGCGTGCAGCAAGGTATTAAACAAAACAGCTATATCAGACTCCAAACCCATTAACATCTAAATCCATCGATTTTAAAGAAAACATTGGAGCGCTCTTAACCATAAAACTGTATGTTTAAAATTACGAGCTTACAGCAGAAAGTCCCTCCCTCCCCCCAGTCTAACATTACCCCAAATGCCGCTCTTTTCTTTCAAAGGCTATCCCAGTCTAATTCCAGAATTCACATATCGGAGAAGGGCCGGCTGATGACCTATATATGAAACTAATTATAAAGGTCAACCCGACTTTAAGGAACAGACACCGAGTTCCGGTGTCCATGCTCTGACTTGCTCTCCATTCGGTGTGCACAGGAATAGCCGCCCGCAGGCTACACACACACACACACACGGCTCGTCTCCCCTCTCCCCCATGTACCGCAGCCACACGCCGAGGCGCCCCGTTTAAGCGAGGATCCGCGTTCCGGCGGGGCCG